TCCCTGAACTTTTAAATTCTTAAATTAGAAGATCTATAAAATGTTATATTTATAATTAATTCCATTGACCAAAGTGAATAACAGGGTTTTGCCAGACGTAATATACTGCATCCTACATGTATACAAATTGAGAAATACACAAATACAGGTACATTACATTGTGTGTCCTGCATGGCGAAAAAAGTATGGCTGTTGAAATCATTACATTTACAATCATTACAGCCTGTTTTATAATACCTATAACTGACATTTCTCTTCTGGTAAGAACTACACTCAAGGTTAAGATTGTCAATGGGCCCCCCAAAATGATGACTGAGAGTCAGCTAAACACTAAAATGTATAGATCCACATAAATCCCTGGATTACCATTAAGGGGCCATAACTCCTGTGATGACGTGCATCAAGCCTGTGAGTAGTGATGCTACAACGATTTTTGTTGCACAACTCCCAAGACGTTTTGCCATAAGCACTAAACATCCTGTCATTACATGACTGAATTTACTTGTTGTTTGATAAAAAAAGCCATAACTTTGCTAATTTGGTTTTTAATCACCACCTGATATCAGCTTCAGATTTTTGCCAGACATTGAGCCCTAAACACAAAAATCATAATCAGAAGAAAACACAAGGAAATCCATGCTTTCTCTGAACAGACTAATTAATCAACATATTGTATTTTCATGACAATTGTTTTAATACGGCTGTCAGTTAATAGCAACAATATGAATTTAAGACATCAAACAAAACAATATTCAGTTATACAACCCAATCATGAAAATTGATTCAAATTGAAAAAAAAAGTATATGTTTAAAGGTAACAAATATCTGTGAAAAGGTTTTCAATAAAGTTCACTCCATACCCCACTAAGCAGATTCACATGAAAAAGTGGCAAAGGTGGACCCAGAGGAGGGGGGCCAGACTCCCCCATACCCCACTTTTGAAAACCAAATGTTGTATGCTGTAAGCAGTAAAATTATCTAGAGAGAGGATTTTGATATTTTGGGTCCCTCCCTTTCAACGATGCTGGATCCGCCCTTGGGAGGTGTTGATAGCTTATGACACTTTGAAAAAATAGCTGCACAGCTCACTTGAGTGATCTGGAATATATGGACTATTGAAGATTACTGTATTACAAATTACTGTATTCACTGTATTAAGCACCCTCTTACCATCTTCTAGACCAAAGTAATCTTTATTACCAGCCCCTACTAAGACCGAACACTCACATGACAGTCAGTAATATGTTGAGTATATTACACCTCACAGTTTAGAAGTATATAATTGCCCAGTAACTATTATTGAAAACATTTTAAAATGACTGCTTGATCTCTGAAAACTAATGAACTTGCTGTTCATGATTTTAATAAGTGACTTATTACAGAGAAAATACCCAATCTGGATCCAGACGCTGTGAGTAGAACTGTGACATTGCCTCATATTACTTCATACAGTGTTGTCCTTGAATTACTTCATACAGTGTTGTCCTTGAATTACTTCATACAGTGTTATCCTTGAATTACTTCATACAGTGTTGTCCTTGAATTACTTCATACAGTGTTGTCCTTGAATTACTTCATACATTGTTGTCCTTGAATTACTTCATACAGTGTTGTCCTTGAATTACTTCATACAGTGTTGTCCTTGAATTACTTCATACAGTGTTGTCCTTGAATTACTTCATAGTGTTATCCTTGAATTACTTCATACAGTGTTGTCCTTGAATTACTTCATACATTGTTGTCCTTGAATTACTTCATACATTGTTGTCCTTGAAATACTTCATACAGTGTTGTCCTTGAATTAGTTCATACATTGTTGTCCATGAATAAGTTCATACAGTGTTGTCCTTGAATTACTTCATACTATATCTGTTGTACACCAAGGTGTGACAGTGTCAACTATATCTGTTATACCCCAAGGTGTGACAGTGTCAACTATATCTGTTGTACACCAAGGTGTGACAGTGTCAACTATATCTGTTATACACCAAGGTGTGACAGTGTCAACTATATCTGTTATACACCAAGGTGTGACAGTGTCAACTATATCTGTTATACCCCAAGGTGTGACAGTGTCAACTATATCTGTTATACACCAAGGTGTGACAGTGTCAGCTATATCTGTTATACCCCAAGGTGTGATAATTGCCAACTATGTCTGTTATACACCAAGGTGTGACAGTGTCAACTATATCTGTTGTACCCCAAGGTGTGATAATTGCCAACTATGTCTGTTATACACCAAGGTGTGACAGTGTCAGCTATATCTGTTATACCCCAAGGTGTGATAATTGCCAACTATGTCTGTTATACACCAAGGTGTGACAGTGTCAACTATATCTGTTGTACCCCAAGGTGTGACAGTGCCAACTATATCTGTTATACACCAAGGTGTGACAGTGTCAACTATATCTGTTGTACACCAAGGTGTGACAGTGTCACTATATATGTTGTACACCAAGGTGTGACAGTGTCAACTATATCTGTTATACACCAAGGTGTGACAGTGTCAACTATATCTGTTATACACTAAGGTGTGACAGTGTCAACTATATCTGTTATACACCAAGGTGTGGCAGCGTCAACTATATCTGTTTTACACCAAGGTTTGACAGTGTCAGCTTTATCTGTTGTACACCAAGGTGTGACAGTGTCAACTATATCTGTTTTACACCAAGGTGTGACAGTGTCAACTATATCTGTTGTACACCAAGGTGTGACAGTGTCAACTATATCTGTTATCCACTAAGGTGTGACAGTGTCAGCTATATCTGTTTTACACCAAGGTGTGACAGTGTCAGCTATATCTGTTATCCACTAAGGTGTGACAGTGTCAGCTATATCTGTTGTACACCAAGGTGTGACAGTGTCAGCTATATCTGTTATACACCAAGGTGTGACAGTGTCAATTATACATGTTATACACCAAGGTGTGACAGTGTCAACTACATCTGTTATACACCAAGGTGTGACAGTGTCAACTATATTTGTTATACACCAAGATGTGACGGTGTCAACTATATCTTTTATTCACCAAGATGTGACAGTGTCAACTACCAGTATATCTGTTGTACACCAAGGTGTGACAGTGTCAGCTACATCTGTTATACACCAAGGTTTGACAGTGTCAACTCTATCTGTTGTACACCAAGGTGTGACAGTGTCAACTGCATCTGTTATGCCCAATCTGCATTTATACAGTCTTACAATCGCATTATTCATTTGTCCTAACAACCTCTAAATTAAAGCCAATCCCCTACATTTTATATGTCTTTATTGTACAATCATTTTTATGACACTCGTATATATTTTACCAAGTTAAAAGTCCATGACATGATGAGGTACACCCAGAAAACATATCATACACACCCAAACACATACCATACATGCCCCTCAACATAGCGAACACAAATGTACATTTGCAGTCTGTCAGTCAAGGACATTTTACAAGTGCTTCAATCAGTCTCTCTTGAGAGGAAGTTATTTTTTAAATTCTCCAGTTCTTTTCTCTCCTCTTTCAATCAGAAAATAACAGTAAATATATAAAGCAAACCATTAAACATGTAAAACTTAATCTAAATGACTCTTAAATAGGTGTTAAACTGATAAAAAAAATTGCTGAAAAGTCAAAAGTTAAAGTACATGTATGTGTTCATTAAAGTTGAAAAATAGTTTAAAGCATGTATTATCTGTAGCTATTCTCACAGGTTTGTTTAAAATATCCATCTCCTGTTAGGGAAATGTAATACATACACTTCAGTGATGTAACAGAAAAAGCAATATCTAGGCTTGAGGCTTTTGCAAAATTACACACCACCCTCAGTCTTCTAAGAGTTGTCTCCCTTTATGTAAGGATTTGGACAAAAACGCTTTTGAATCGGAACCACCATCATGTGACTTGGATAACCAATCAGCATCCTTAGCCATTCATGCCACTCTAATTTGTTTTTAGTGTGGTTCAGGATGCATGTCCAATTTTTATACCCCAAAATCAAGCAGTTTTGTTTATTTAAAGCATTAATTGTTTATTGTTAAGTAAGTTTATTTCTGCAGCCGTTGTAATATGCAGCTACCAGCTGACTTGTCTCGCATCAAAATACAGGCTGTACTCGCGGGCAGATTACCATGGTGTACGCAGATCATCATGTCGGATTAACAAGACTGATTAATGAGTGGTTTCGGTAATTTCGGTAAATTAGGTGTGTCAGAGTTGGAATGCAAGATTGTCGGATTAAAGGGTCCAAATAGCACTTATTTAATCGGTTCCCATCATTAGTGTCGGATAAAGCCGATTGTCGGATTAACGAGTGTCAGATAAACAAGACTTGACTGTACATGTTTATGAATGTATAAATAAATTGCAAGTTTTTGGTATTTGATTGGCTAACCAAGCAATAACATTTTATTTTGTTAATGTTTCAATAAACCTAAAATAGTTCAGACCATGTTCACTACCGGACTACTGTTTGTTAGCAGAATCACATTTACTGATAGGTTAGCCAACAGATACCATGCCACAGTTTAACATGGATACCCCATTCAGACACAGTATACTGACTCCAAGCTGATTAGTTCTTGTTTTTAGCCCCTTAATGCCAAGCCCCAGGCAGGGTAACAACAAGTTTCACAAGGCCTGAGATCAAACCACCGACATTCCTTTCTCCCGGCAGACAATCATTCCACAAGACCACGGAGGCGGTTTATGCTTGTAAGTGAGCATTGTCAAACTATAGTGAAGGTATGAAAACTTTATAATGGTTACAGTTTGAGTGACTGCTTGTCATCCAAAATGTCATAGGGAACATATATTATTCATTTTTGGTAATGACATAGAACAATTTCCTTTCAAAATTTGCTAAAATAATTCAAATGTCGGAATGACATTTGTCTCTATCTACATCACTGTTTAGGCTTCAATGTTTACCAATAAGGATATTTGAGAAATAACACATTCTACCCTGAGTATTATATTGCTTGACAGACTAAAAGGTTTAGCTCACCTTACAAACTTTCCTATAGCATTCCTCCAGACCCATGACATTCTCCCGTGGTACTGCAGACCGGATCACGTGATCAGGCAGCATGAACACGTGATCACCTTCGCCAGGCCATCCAGTGAGATTCTCTGATCGAGTCACTCCACTATTTGCAATGTGTGTATAACTCCGAGAATTTGTTCTTGCAAAAAAAATAAACACAGGTTTGAGAGGTTGTATAACTAAGTAATTGCTTGTTAATTTGAACAGCTTTTAGTAGTAAATTTTGGCGACTCTACTTAAACTTTTCTGCCATGATCTCGACCAGTTTTGCTAATTTGGTCGTATCTATTCATTATTATTATTCTGTAAATCATTCATAGATCTGCGGAGGGAAATCCAAACCTTTTTCAATGTTTCAAAATGGATATGTAGCTTATTTGAAAAAAGATCTGCCTCGATAATACAGTGTATTTTATCTCCAGGATAATTATCCTGGACCCATTCACTACCAAACTTTCTTTTGAACCACATACGAGAGACACATTGTAACGTGAGAGATAAGCAGGATGGAGATGGTAATGTTACTTCTGAAACGAAGCTTTGGTGGTGATTAGACTCAGGGTATTTATCAGAATAGAATCGAGAAATAATATCCTAAATAATCGAGATTGAAAAAATCACACAAACACATGCACACAATAAGTAGACATGCATTCTAGCACACGCATGCATGCACGCACATGCACAAACACACAAGCACATACACACACTCGTGCATGCACACACACATGTACACAATAAGCAGACATGTATTCTCACATGCACGCACACACACGCACACACACGCACACGCACACACACACACACACACACACACAGTAGGCAGACATGCATTCTCACACATGCACACACCACACACACTTGTAGACCTACTTGATGAGGTCCTCCACATTGCTTGGGTTGAGTCTCTTGGCCGGCCCCCACCTCCGGGCCGACGACACTTGTTCCCGAGACTGGTATGTGGGTCGCTCGGACATGTTCACCTTCCTCTGTAATAAACAAACGCAGCTCAAGGACTGACATGGACAAATGTACAGGAGTGCTGTAGTGGTGTAGTTGTGATGTGACTTCTTCTCACAGTTATCTCCCTTAGGCTGGCTGTGCTGACTGTAAGCTCAACCTTCCCTTTAAGTGATGCCTCTAATCTGAGTGAAGAACAGGGCTTAGTGATGTGAGTGTGAGTGAGTTGGGTTTAATGCTGCTTTTAACATTACTCCAGTTATATCACGGCGTGTCAGCTTAATGTGGGAGGAAAGCCCGAAGTGATGCATGTCTCAGACGTTTACCACTTCGGTGAAACCCATGAGCACGGGTATGGTGCTGACAAACCTATAAACATAATTTGGGCGAACCAGGATTCGAACCCACAATCATAGGTTTCTGGCGTGCCCAAGGGATGCAACTCTGCACAGCGAATTGCGGCGCCTTGGACGACCGGGCCACCCGTGCCCCCCCTTAGTGATGTAGTACAGGGTCTGTATAACCTTATGCAAACCTTGCTGTTGCCTTAACTCACCCGGAGAGGTTGGCCACTGAACCCACGCTTCTCTTCCTTCAGACGTAGAACCTCAACCATTTTCTGAAATATATGTCCAGATATATGATATATATTACTGGAAAAGTTATTACCGTATTCGACGTAATAAGCGCCCTGGGCGCTCTCAAAATTAGAAATAGGAGGCTCTTATTGAAAAAACCAGAGTTGAAAGATAAATGTACGACAGATATATTTTTCCAGAATTTAATTCCCCATAATTAATGGTGCATATAACACACGAGTGCGTATTATACGCGAATAAATAAGTCTTGTGTACATTGATCAATCGGAAGGGGTGCAAATAGGGATTGTTCACTAGCCAAAATCTTGGCAAATGTCGCCGTGGGCGCTTAAAAATTATTAGAGCGGGGCGCTTATTAGGTCGAATAGGGTATATATATTATCTAATTGTGACGTGTGTAGAGACTAATATCAAGAGTGTTATTATTCTGTGCAATCATGACTAGACATCTGGCATTACACACCAACATTTGCCAGAAGACCACAGAAATATGTATGTGGGTACAATAACCTTAGCCACCAACATGTAATTCAGTTGAATAAAGTGCAGGAAGCTTACAAAGAAATGACAACTGTTATGATTAATATCAGTGCTTAAGGTCATATAAACATTTAAGCATATAAACATATACAATAGTTTTTCCAAAATGTCACTCATCTATATATCTTTGCTAAACATTAAATGCACTTACTGATACAGAATGCATGAATGCATACACTTGAATCATATACTTTTACAATGAATCATACAATAACCAAGCTTGACTAATGATACCACATATATCAGTGTGTCTGGTCTAAGTATCAGACAGCACTAAATGCCAACATTTCTCTGGTGTAACATGCCAATGTGCATTGCTCTTCTACAAACATCACAGCAAAAACTCAGTTCATCCAAAGTAAATACACATATAAAACCAACTATGATTGATTTGGACGGTTATTGGGGGAACTAATTCTATAATAGTGGTCTTCAAGTAATGCAATCCCCCTAAATCTACCTCCTCCAGCACCGGGTGGTATCTCGGCAACTGTGAGCCTCACGTCGCATTGATACTGATTACAGTCAGGGGGCACCTCTACACCATGCTTGCCATCAAGCTGATTAAAATGGTAACTGTTTGGCCAAATAGATTGCTGATCATGCACATTACTTAGCCGACCAATAGCCACCATGGAAACAAACACCTGGCCTGGCTGTGCTTGTGTGTCATCGTTTGCCTGCTCCGAACTCTTTGGGATGGATGTGATATATCTGTGAAATTGTTGACTGGTGTGTTTCACAACTAACTCTCTTCCTCAATTCTTCATTACCCTAATCTCTCTATCCTCCCCTCACTCACTCTGGATTCTTCATGACTTTCAACTTGTACACTCACTCACACAGTAACACTTCGGCTCACACACACTGGTTCACTCACTCACTCTGGTTCACTCACTCACTCTGGTTCACTCACTCACACAGTAACACTTAGGCTCACTTACACTGGTTCAGTCACTAACTCACTCACACTGGTTCACTCTCTCACTCTGGTTCACTCACTCACTCTGGTTCACTCACTCACTCTGGTTCACTCACTCACTCTGGTTCACTCACTAACACAGTAACACTTAGGCTCACTTACACTGGTTCAGTCACTCACTCAATCTGGTTCACTCATTCACTCTGGTTCACTCACTCACACAGTAACACTTAGGTTCACTCACACTGGTTCAGTCACTCACTCACTCTGGTTCTCTCATTCACTCTGGTTCACTCATTCACTCTGGTTCACTCACTTACACAGTAACACTTAGGTTCACTCACACTGGTTCAGACACTCACTCACTCTGGTTCACTCACACTGGTTCACTCACTCACTCTGGTTCACTCACTCACTAACTTGGGTTTACTCTCTGGTTCACTCAAACTTTGGTTTACTCAATCAGGTTTACTCACTCCCACTGGTTCACTTACGAGCTAAAGTTCACTCACTCACTCTGGTTCAGTCAGTGTGGTTCACTCACACTGCTTCACTCACTCAATCTGGTTCACTCACTCACACTGCTTCACTCACTCAATCTGGTTCACTCACTCACACTGCTTCACTCACTCAATCTGCTTGACTCACTCAATCTGCTTCACTCACTCAATCTGCTTCACTCACTCACACTGCTTCACTCACTCAATCTGGTTCACTCACTCACACTGCTTCACTCACTCAATCTGGTTCACTCACTCACACTGCTTCACTCACTCAATCTGGTTCACTCACTCACACTGCTTCACTCACTCAATCTGGTTCACTCACTCAATCTGCTTCACTCACTCAATCTGCTTCACTCACTCACACTGCTTCACTCACTCAATCTGGTTCACTCACTCACACTGCTTCACTCACTCAATCTGGTTCACTCACTCACACTGCTTCACTCACTCAATCTGGTTCACTCACTCACACTGCTTCTCTCACTCAATCTGGTTCACTCACTCACACTGCTTCACTCACTCACACTGCTTCACTCACTCACACTGCTTCACTCACTCAATCTGGTTCACTCATTCACACTGCTTCACTCACTCAATCTGCTTCACTCACTCAATCTGCTTCACTCACTCAATCTGCTTCACTCACTCACACTGCTTCACTCACTCAATCTGGTTCACTCACTCACACTGCTTCACTCACTCAATCTGGTTCACTCACTCACACTGCTTCACTCACTCAATCTGCTTGACTCACTCAATCTGCTTCACTCACTCAATCTGCTTCACTCACTCACACTGCTTCACTCACTCAATCTGGTTCACTCACTCACACTGCTTCACTCACTCAATCTGGTTCACTCACTCACACTGCTTCACTCACTCACACTGCTTCACTCACTCACACTGCTTCACTCACTCACACTGCTTCACTCACTCAATCTGGTTCACTCACTCACACTGCTTCACTCACTCAATCTGGTTCACTCACTCACACTGCTTCACTCACTCAATCTGGTTCACTCACTCACACTGCTTCACTCACTCAATCTGGTTCACTCACTCACACTGCTTCACTCACTCACACTGCTTCACTCACTCACACTGCTTCACTCACTCAATCTGGTTCACTCACTCACACTGCTTCACTCACTCAATCTGCTTCACTCACTCAATCTGCTTCACTCACTCAATCTGCTTCACTCACTCACACTGCTTCACTCACTCAATCTGGTTCACTCACTCACACTGCTTCACTCACTCAATCTGCTTCACTCACTCAATCTGCTTCACTCACTCACACTGCTTCACTCACTCAATCTGGTTCACTCACTCACACTGCTTCACTCACTCAATCTGGTTCACTCACTCACACTGCTTCACTCACTCAATCTGGTTCACTCACACTGCTTCACTCACTCAATCTGGTTCACTCACTCACACTGCTTCACTCACTCACACTGCTTCACTCACTCACACTGCTTCACTCACTTAATCTGGTTCACTCACTCACACTGCTTCACTCACTCAATCTGGTTCACTCACTCACACTGCTTCACTCACTCAATCTGGTTCACTCACTCACACTGCTTCACTCACTCAATCTGGTTCACTCACTCACACTGCTTCACTCACTCAATCTGGTTCACTCACACTGCTTCACTCACTCAATCTGGTTCACTCACTCACACTGCTTCACTCACTCACACTGCTTCACTCACTCACACTGCTTCACTCACTTAATCTGGTTCACTCACTCACACTGCTTCACTCACTCAATCTGGTTCACTCACTCACACTGCTTCACTCACTCAATCTGGTTCACTCACTCACACTGCTTCACTCACTCAATCTGGTTCACTCACTCAATCTGCTTCACTCACTCAATCTGGTTCACTCACTCACACTGCTTCACTCACTCAATCTGGTTCACTCACACTGCTTCACTCACTCAATCTGGTTCACTCACTCACACTGCTTCACTCACTCAATCTGGTTCACTCACTCACACTGCTTCACTCACTCAATCTGGTTCACTCACGCACACTGCTTCACTCACTCAATCTGGTTCACTCACTCACACTGCTTCACTCACTCAATCTGGTTCACTCACTCACACTGCTTCACTCACTCACTCTGGTTCATTCACTCACTCTGGTTCACTCACTGATCTTCTTAATTGAGCTTACTAACTTTGGTTCCTTCAAAAGCCTCAAATACAGTCACATCTTGTCAATATGATCTTCATTAATTTCAGCAGAGACCACATTCCGACTCTGATCTGATATTTTTACTCATGAGGCCATTTTCTTTGAACTAAAGTTATGTTATCTGTTCCTGATAGTCTGTCATTCTTTCAAACCTACCTGTTCAGTGTTTGACTGCCATAATCATGTGACCGTAATTAGTCTTGTGTTAATCCTCCAGGGAGATGTGCAACAGACCGTGACTAGGCACATGCCAGCTTGTCAGCACTGACAATGTTTGAGTCTGGTTTGAGCGTGATACTGTCAGTGATTAACACCAACTGATCGTGAGTACACTGCCCTGCTTGTCAGCAAGTGTTGACAGTGTGCCATTACAGATGATACTAGGTGTCATGGCTGCAGTAATTCAACTCACTTCATGCAGGCTTGTAACCTTTAACCCTTGAAGTGTTTGCACATTAACATGAAAAAAGAAGCTCTTCTGAATGTGATCATATTGGTGCCTTCTCAACATCATATTCCTCAACCCATCCCATACTCCTCAACTCAACCCATCCCATACTCCTCAACTCAACCCATCCCATACTCCTCAACTCAACCCATCTCATACTCCTCAACCCATCTCATACTCCTCAACCCATCCCATACTCCTCAACCCATCCCATACTCCTCAACCCATCTCATACTCCTCAACCCATCCCATACTCCTCAACCCATCCCATACTCCTCAACCCATCTCATTCTCCTCAACCCATCTCATACTCCTTAACCCATCTCATACTCCTCAACCCATCTCATACTCCTCAACCCATCTCATACTCCTCAACCCATCCCATACTCCTCAACCC